CATTCAACTTAATTCCACCAGTATGCATCTCTCTAATGGTTTTAACTGATTCCAACCCTTTACATAACATTTCTTATTTTAGACCGAAAACCACTATTTTGGTCTATTTTGGTAAATGAAGTGTTTTCAATGTTTGCTATGTCCACTGGAAATGCGTTATTCTAACTGCAAACAGGACTTTTAAAAATGTTCTTGAAAAAACTACTTTTTGGTCAGTTATCCATGTGAGCATAACACAGTACTTTGTGCTGGTATATGACATAAAATTACAACAAAACACATAGGAAATTGTGGTAGTCCAGCTATTGTACCCACCCAAAAAATACAATTAACTGTGTGGAGTCTTCCTGCAGGGCCTTCCAGCTGTAAAGCAGTAGTGCTACCAAATGCATCTCCTGCAGCTCGCTCTGGTTGTATTGAAACACAATTCCAATGAGGAGAAGACATTATTGATCAAGTTCTGTTCAAAGATGTTTGAAAATCATGCCAAACATATATAATTACATCTCAGTATCCAGGTTTAAATGATGCCATGTGTTTTGTTATATTCCTTTAAAAACCAGAAGCAAATATTTTTGTTTACCCAAATCTTCCCAAAAAAACAATGATAAACATATTATGTATGCAGAGTTTTAAACATTTTTATTTACCTACTTAAAGGTGTAAGCAGTAGTTCCAAGTAGTTTACAGGGATATATAAAAACATTGCATAGTTTACATGTGTTTATAAAGGTTAAATATAATAAAATAAATCCAACTACTTAAGCCACCACACTATGACCTATAGAGCCCATAAACTTCACTGCAAACACACACCCAGCTGTACATTTTTCACAGGTTTCATGTATGCAGCGACGTATAAGGGAACTGGAAACGGCTGAACAGCAAAGCCAAAGGCTGCTGCATGAAAAAGAAGCCTATCAGCAGCAGAGTGACCAGAGCCATAGAGAAACCGCAGCTCAACTTGAGGAAATACTGGAGGACTATAAGGACCAAATCAAAGAACTTTCTGTAAAGCTAGTTCTGGCAGAAAACAGAGCCCAAAGCCTGGAGGAGCAGCTAAATGTGAGCAAAGCTAAATGTTGTGACTTGGAGCACCAACTGGCAGCGCTGTATGCGGTTCTGCGCTGCACCAGGCTCTGTGACACACGGGAGTCCACACAAGCGTCTCCCTCAAGGAGACACTTCCATGTGAAAGGTAAAGCTGACATTTTGTCACACAAAAATAACCTGCAGCAGTTTTTGTTTCTTTTGAAACTATCGAGCGGTGTATCTTGTCAGGTGGGGAGTATGGAACAGAGGAATCTGGAATATTCTCACTCAATTCTGAAGATGGAGACTTAAATATTAAATCTATACAAACATCTCTACAGGAGTTCATGAAAGAACTCAGAGATGCTCAAAGAGAGAGGGTATGAAGAAAAGTCACTCTAAGTCAATGTTGACATAACTACTTCACTTTTGTACAAAATCTTTTGCGATTTCTGTTTAGGATGAAGCCCAGGCTCAGATAGTCCGTTTGAAACAACATGTGACTGAACTAAAAGCTTCTCAGGAGAAGTCCCTCAACCAGATGCAGGAGCTGCAGAGCTCCTTGAGGCTTTCAGAGGAGGGTAAGAAAGCCTGTGAAAAAAATCCTTGATTAATCGGAATCATCATCAGCAACAAACTGAAACATATCCATATGCAATATATACATTCGGTTTTAGGAAAACAGGAAATCTCAAAGCAGCTGCAAAAGGTACAGACTTCCCTGGCCCTGCAGCAGGACGTAACACAGTGTAAAGAGAAGGAGAGCAGAAACCTGGAGGCCCAGTTGGCTCAGCTCAAGACCACTTTGCAAGCTACTCAGACTATGTCCAGGTCATTGCAGGTATGTTATGATATCTTCCAAGAGACCAAATGTGGTTTCACATAATCACATTAGTGTTGATGTCACATGGGACTGTTGAGTTGCCGTATCGATGTCTGCTTGTGTGTTTTCATGCCAGAATTTCAGTTGCTACTGTTGATGACTTCTTATAGCAATTACAACCCAAATGTCTTAAGCATTAAAGAACCCTGGATTGACCTCTATTAATAAAAATAGACCCTCATTTTCAAACTGAATATGTATTAAATACTGCTAGCTAAGAAAATCCGTCAAAACTTAGAGAGATTTACTACATGTTGGCATGGAAGCCAAGTTATAATATTCTGCGAGCTTAAATACACATTACTGCATATAGGAGGGTCCTCTACTAACAATTTTTGCAATTCTTCTGTAGGATAAGTTGGAGGTCTTGCAGGGCTCAGAGATGTGCGCAAATACAGAAAACCAGAAGCTCAAAAAGTCTTTGGAGGCAGCAGAAAGCAGAGTAAGCCACCTGGAGATTTCTCAATGCGCCCTTCAGGGTGAGCTACAGAGGGCCCACCTCAGGGTGGCAGAGCTGGACGCAGAGGCCGGAGGTCTTCAGGAAAGACTCACAGATACCAGGAAAAAACTGTGTGAGAGTGAAGATCGATGTGCAGCGCTAAGGGTCAGTGAGGAGAAGCTGACCGTGTCACTGGCTAGAGCTGAGCAGCATGAGAATGTGCTGAGAGAGCAGGTTCACACGCTTTCAAATACCGCAAGTCTGAACAGGAAGAACGCTGAAGGTCTGCAGGAGCAAGTTACAGAGCTGCAAGGGGCTCTGACTGCTAGTGAAGCGGACCGAAGGCTGCTGCAGGTAATCCAGTTACTCTTGATACTTCTAGAACTAAGAGGTGCAGTTAAGGAAAACCAATACCAATAAGGAAACCAATATCTTTTTGGACAAATCATCTGCAAGCTCTATTTCTAGTAACAGTGGGATGATTGTGTAAAACCAGGGCTGCACAGTGGAGCAGTGGGTAGCATGGAGTTTTGATATTGTCCCTGTGCATTCGTGGGTTCTATCTGGGTACTCCGGCTTCCTCCCACAGTCCAAAAACATCACTGTTCTCTAAATTCTCCTCATGTGTGAGTGTGTGTGTGAATGGTTGTCCTGTGTGTCTCTGTGTTGCACTGCGATAAACTAGCGACCTGTCCAGGGTGTACCCCGCCTCTCTCCCATTGACTGCTGGAGATAGGCACCAGCACCCCTCGTGATCCCAGCAGGAATAATGTGATGAAAAATGGATGTTATATCATATACAATAATATTGTATATGATTCAATTTCCTCGTTAAAACTTGTTTAAAAGTAAGAAAGAAGATTAGATACAGTAGTTTTCTTAAACTGGAAAAGTTTGAAAAAGGGAAATCGAGAATAGAAAAGGCTTCTCTTTCCAGACTTTAATTCGTTGATTTTGATATTTAAATAACGTCCTTTACCTTTGAGTTGCCCATTCACCATTTCCCTTTTTTGTTTTTTCAGTTGTTTCATAATTTTGAAACAATAGTTGATTAGATTATCCCACAAATAAATTATTATTTTTTTCTTCAAACATGACAAAGGATCCTTCTGAATAAAGCATTTAGCCTTTGGTCAATCCCAGTGGGATAAGCTCAGGATACTTTTAAATGGAGGGACGAGGAGTCTCATTTATAAAGCATTGCGGAGAATCCACACTAAAAGTTCCTACCATAAACATCTAAAAATGGCGTACAACCCCAAAAAACTTGATTTATAAAACCATCTAAATGCACAAAACAAAGCCATTTTCCTTTATAGATCACATTCAACCATAAATGCTCTGAACAAGCAACGCATGAATGCCACTGTATTTAAATGAGCCAGCTAATCAATGTTATCTAATTGTTATCTAGCAACCACAGCTCAGGCAGCTAAAAAGCTTAGTTTACACGTGGCAGAAATAGATGTGTTGGTGAGTGAAGTTGAAAAACAGAAAAAAATGCTAGCGGCAGTAAAAAAAAAAAAAAGAAGGTGTTTTTAGTTAGACCTTAGACCACGTTTAAAGCCTGCAGGGGAATTTTCGCTGGTAGTAGGTTTATCATGAACCCTAGAGTAGTTGACAACTGTAACTAATTTAAAAAAAAAATAAAATTTGTGAAAGCAGCTCCCCTATCTAAAAGGTTTAATATGGGTAAATGGTTGCTTTTTATCGACATATACGAACAGGCTTAAATCGGAAAGCTACTGGACTTTCACTCCATTTTTTTCAAGCTGTTTCCACATCTATCTGGGACTCTGTGGAAACGTCTTCAAAAAAGATGCTTTCCAGGCTGTTTGTGGTTGCCACGACCCCGATGACTGAGACTTTACACAGGCACTTTGAGTGAAATGATCATATTATATTTAGCTCTTCCTTAATCTTTTGTAGAATGGGAATGTTGTATTGTTTATATCTGTAATTAATAAAAATGTTTTTTATTTCTATATACAACAAGGATTGTTTGTCATCTACATTTGATTCATTTTTTAGAACCATGCACATAGCTACCCTTCCCAATTTATTTTAGATGTGCAAAATGCTTTTTGTGGAACTACTGTTATGAGCTGGGATAGAGAGGGTCCAGTGGGTCGCTCTCTCCAACATTGGACCCAAGTCAGCATATACACTCACCGGCCACTTTATTAGGTACCCCATGCTAGTAACGGGTTGGACCCCCTTTTGCCTTCAGAACTGCCTTAATTCTTCGTGGCATAGATTCAACAAGGTGCTGGAAGCATTCCTCAGGGAGTTTGGTCCATATTGACATGATGGCATCACACAGTTGCCGCAGATTTGTCGGCTGCACATCCATGATGCGAATCTCCCGTTCCACCACATCCCAAAGATGCTCTATTGGATTGAGATCTGGTGACTGTGGAGGCCATTTGAGTACAGTGAACTCATTGTCATGTTCAAGAAACCAGTCTGAGATGATTCCAGCTTTATGACATGGCGCATTATCCTGCTGAAAGTAGCCATCAGAAGTTGGGTACATTGTGGTCATAAAGGGATGGACATGGTCAGCAACAATACTCAGGTAGGCTGTGGCGTTGCAACGATGCTCAATTGGTACCAAGGGGCCCAAAGAGTGCCAAGAAAATATTTCCCACACCATGACACCACCACCACCAGCCTGAACCGTTGATGCAAGGCAGGATGGATCCATGCTTTCATGTTGTAGACGCCAAATTCTGACCCTACCATCCAAATGTCGCAGCAGAAATCGACTCATCAGACCAGGCAACGTTTTTCCAATCTTCTATTGTCCAATTTCGATGACCTTGTGCAAATTGTAGCCTCAGTTTCCTGTTCTTAGCTGAAAGGAGTGGCACCCGGTGTGGTCTTCTGCTGCTGTAGCCCATCTGCCTCAAAGTTCGACGTACTGTGCGTTCAGAGATGCTCTTCTGCCCACCTTGGTTGTAACGGGTGGTTATTTGAGTCACTGTTGCCCTTCTATCAGCTCGAACCAGTCTGGCCATTCTCCTCTGACCTCTGGCATCAACAAGGCATTTCCGCCCACAGAACTGCCGCTCATTGGATGTTTTTTCTTTTTCGGACCATTCTCTGTAAACCCTAGAGATGGTTGTGCGTGAAAATCCCAGTAGATCAGCAGTTTCTGAAATACTCAGACCAGCCCTTCTGGCACCAACAATCATGCCATGTTCAAAGTCACTCAAATCACCTTTCTTCCCCAATACTGATGCTCGGTTTGAACTGCAGGAGATTGTCTTGACCATGTCTACATGCCTAAATGCACTGAGTTGCCGCCATGTGATTGGCTGCTTAGAAATTAAGTGTTAACGAGCAGTTGGACAGGTGTACCTAATAAAGTGGCCGGTGAGTGTAGATCCAAGAGAAACGTTAATCCGCTCATAATCCAGAGGAGTTTTGATGAAATCTGGCTTCAATTTCTCACCTCACCATTTAGCCTGCCTCCAAAATATGCGTGCCCCATACAGATGGGTTAAAGTTGACACAAATTTTGTTTTTTTCTCAGATCACAGTTGTGTATGTACACAAGTTTTAGGCTAGATTTTATGCATAAGGAATCTTTATAAATGAGATCCTAAGAGTGGAACAGCATCTGCTCAAAGCTCCCTCCAGAGGTGCTACACATAAGGAGCTAATGTAACATGCCAGTGTCAAAAATATCCTTCTTGTTCCATGTTTTTACACCAGAAAATGAGGGTTGAAGCTTTTTGATGGACCAGTTAAGAAAAAACGTAGCTCCTATGAATCATTCTCTACATGAAGTGTACCAACAAAATCAGGCTCTTAAAATAATCCTCATTAATACAGTCCTCATAGTAACCACACATTTAAAATAAAAATGGGTAATGCTTTTTTAAATTTATTTAAGAAAAAATAAATGTAAACATTGGCTTGAGATAAAGATGGCTGTCTATCTAGTCACCCCCACCAGTCAGAGATCTGCTCAATTTTTGTTATTCGTTTATTCTTCCGTAAAATAAATGAATAAACAGAAAAAGGCGAGGTAAACAAATGTAAAAAAGACCTGATGGATAGGGATGTAAAGTTTACACATCAATGTATATTAACGCAGTTCTATTTAATGCCATTTATTTGTTTTAGTGCACATATTCCCATCGTTTTTGGACCTCATCTGCAACGAAATTTTTTTTTAAAAGTTCGTAATAGAGCTTCACTACATTCGTCTTTCAGTTGTAGTTCAGAGGGAGGGTTTTTACACTTGTAGGCCACCACAAAGCATTTACACCTAAGGCATCCAAATGGCTAACACCTCTCCTGACTACTGCAAATAATGCTCCAATCCATCCATTTTTCTCCTGCTCTTTCCTACCATCACTTGTGAACAACACCCAGAGATACTTGAACTCGTGTGTTTGAGGCAGAGGCTGACGCCCAGCCCGCAGGGAACAATCCATCTTTTCCCGGTTGTGAACAATGACCTCATATTTAGAGAAAGTGGCTCTCATTGCCATCCAGATTGGACAAATACCTTGTGTTTTAGACACTGAATTCAAACAAATTTAGAATTCCTCCAAAGTTTAGAAAAGCTGTGAAATAGCTCCTTGCTGCCTTGGATAACGAGAGGGAAAATTCAGCAATGTACTGTTTCGAGATTTATGTAATAATAATAAATAGACAAAAAAAAAGAAACCGATCAGGAAAATAAATATTTTTACTAAAAGTCCTCGCAAACCTGTCTTCACAAACACATAAAATAGAAGTTTAATATGATGCGGGTTTACCTTCAATATCTAAAACAGTTTAAGCCCAACTTGGAAGGCTTTGGGAAAGTGTTGATGTGGATATTTATAGAAACACACTTTTGATGTCTGACCTTGATGTAGGAAAGGTTTAGTTTGCAGTCTCCTCTCTAATACGTCCTAATAATTGGGTTATACCCCCGAATGCAGACTTTTGCATAGCCACGGTGCTATTACGTTCACCGCCGTGAATTATATCTTGCCGCTGCCCGCGTCTATGGAGGACCTAGTTACTGAAAAAGAAAACCAGCCGAATTTAAAATTTAAATCATCCAATTTGAAATATAATATGAAAATCATTTTCAAAATGTGAATTTTAAATTGAATTATTAAAGTAGAATTATTTAATTCATTCTTATATGCTGGAATTTCAAAATTTAATTTCAAATCCTGTTTCTAATTGGAATCTGATTATTAAAACCTTTCCTAATCAGACATTTACAAAGGATATTGCTTTTTAAATGTTTGATCCAGTCTGGTGATTCTGGATAAATCTTTTTTTTTTTTTTAAAGCTACACTACAGTGAGTACATTTCAACGACATCTAATGGTCAGACTGCAGCAATATGGTACAAAATGGCAATATCTGCATCACATATTGTGTCAAGTGATGGTGAGGTTTAGATGGAAAATTTTATTTGTCTATATAGGATATAGATATTATATAGGCCTGACATGCCGCATTCCCATTGTAATGACAATCTCTAAAGTCAATAGTTTGTCAGCCATAGTGCAAAGATGTCTGCCTCCATAAATGCGAGTTTGTAATTATAAATATGAGATTATACATATGAATTTCTAAATATAAAGACAAGGGTAAAAAAAATATGAAACAAACATGACTTGCTGATAAATCTTATTTTTTTGGAGAAAGAGAAATCTAGTCATTGACATTAAAATGTAAAGACTTGAAATAAGCTAGCCTCATTGTGCAAACGGTGTGATTTCTTAAAAATAAAATATTTCAACCTTTGTGTGTGTGTGTGTGTGTGTGTGTGTGTGTGTGTGTCCTCAGGAGCATTTGGATAAAACACGGGATGCACTTTCAGAGAGTAAGAGGCTGAACTATTCACTCACCAAGCAGACCCAGAACCTTAACTCAGCTCAGGAGGATTCATATGTTAGAATTTCTGAGCTGGAGAAAAGTAACAGAACCCTGCAGGAGGTGAGTCACACTGTAAAGCACACGGTGAGTGATGCACCAAAGATGAAGGTTCCTTTCTGATCTCTGGGTTAACAAAACCACAGAGTCTGAAGCAACAGGAGGAGAGTCAGATGCAAGCTTCCATCCGAATTGAGAAAGAGAAGAAGGAACTCCAGGAAAAGCTCAGTAACCTGCAGAGCTCTTTGCAAACCCTTCAGAATGAGAAAGCTAAGATGGAGAAGGTGCTGACGAACCTTAGTAAGAACAAGTCTGCTCTCAGAAAGACACTAGAGAAGGTGAGTCTACTTCTGTCAATGGCCGTATTTTAAAGAAAACATGATCCTTAAACTCCAGAGATAGTTGAGCTAAAAGTTGTTATGAAACCAAACAGATATGACCCTTAATGTACCTGATCAGACAGATGTTGTTCTCTGATATTGGATTTCATCTGGCCTTGTCTCTACAAGCAGAGTTGGGAACTTTACTTCAAAAAGGTTACTTCACCCAAAGAGAAACGTAATTAGCATATCAGTTACAGCCCAATCATTGCACCTAGTTAGTATGGGGAGCAACTATGCAGGTACTTTTAATTATCTAAACTGTTGAGGAATTTTGAGGACTTTTCTTTCATCTGAACTTTAAAGAAAACTGGGAATTAAATTATAAAATGGAAGATGTTTTAATGCTTAACTATGATCTGGGTGAGTATTTGATTATGACTGGCTGCAGCAGAGTGTCCGTTAAGAAGTGGACAACCACACAGACAGCCAGAAAGGCTTACCAAGGACCAATCACAGCTGCTTTTTGTCTGCGCACTTCCGCTTGAGGTCTGCGCATGTTTGCGACCGTTGCAGAACCTCGTGGTCGCACACAGAGACAGATTTGACGGTTGCAGAGGTTATGCGTCAAAAGCATAAATTGGCCTTACAGGGCTGATCATACTTCTGCAATCGCATACAGCAAATGTCGCTTGCGTCTGGTCGCGAACAAGATTTGCTGGTATGCTTCTGCAATGTCGGTCTGAAATTTCTAGGGATGCACAGCAGTTTTCTGCCAAAGCGCTAGGGAGAGCATATAGGAAAACTTGCGAGAACTTCGGGGGACGGGCACGAGAACTTCTTCGCCGACGCCGGCGGGAGTGTTTATTTTACAAAACAACATGTCTGAGGCATCGAACAAGTGGTTGTACTTCCAAACCTCCTCGATCAATCTTTCATCGTGGTTATCCATTGTTGTTATTACTCCTCAGCTTTTAAATATGGCGCACTCTGGCACTGAATCGAGAAGGAGGACCACATAGACAGCAGGAAAGACATACCAAGGACCAATCGCAGCTGCTTTTTGTCTGCGCACTTCCGCTTGAGGTCTGCGCGGATTTGCGACCGTCCAACGCATAGTCATGATTTTTTTTAGGTGTGCGATGACGGTTGCAGAGCCTCTGCGTCGGGGGCATGGTCGTGGACAGAGACAGATTTGATGGTTGCAGAGGCTATGCATCAGAACTATAAATTGGCCTTAAGTCCTTGACGTGGGAGACGCGGGTTCGAATCTGACCTGTGGTCCTTTCCTGCATGTCTCCCCCCCTCTCTCATACCCCCTTTACTGTCAGCCTACTGTCCATAAAAACTTGGATTGGAAGTAAACTAATGGTATTACCAGGATGTGAAAATTAATTAGTTAGATTTGTTTTTAAAGGGAATAACTAATGTGGTTATGAGTAACGATATTATGTAACACAGTTATTCCTCTTACTTTGTACTAGTAGCTCCGTATTTCTCAATCTGCCAGTCCACTGTGACCGAATATCAGATTAAAAAACATTGAGGGAGGCTGTTGTTTAATTTTGCGACTGTGCATTGTTGCCAGTTGCTCTCAGGAAATTACTGGTCTAGTTCCCTTAGTGGCTATAAGTTACATGGTGTTGCTTTAACATCACTTTTATAAATAATGTATTTCTTTAAAAGGTATTTTCTTGTTTTTTCTGCCTAAAACTTTGATGGCTTCTCTCTGTCAAATACAAGCAAAAACATCTTAATTATTTATCCCATTAACGTACCATTGGAAGTGTTTACCCAAGAGATGCAAAGTATGTGTTTAGTTTTGCTTAGAGACCCAGCTATCAGGCTCTGGACTCTATGATGCTGAGGCAATAGGACACTTAAAGGAGCAGTTACCTCAAGCCTTACAGGAGAAAAATACTGTGTAACAAACCTCAATACTTTATATTTTTCTAGATTTTCTTTTTCCTACGAAATACATCAACTAATTGTGAATCATTTCCACCACAAACAAAGCACAAAGATGTTAGAACCTGAGTGTGGGACCAGTTGTGGTGTTTTCTGCTCTCAGGTGGAGATGGAAAGACTCAGGAAGGAAGATGAGGTGATATCCGTCACCCGGGAGAAAGCAAAGCTGGAGGAGACCCTCCACAGCTTGAAGAAAGAGCTGAGTGAGGAGCAGCGAGTAGTTCAGACTCTCCAGGTGAAAAGTTACAAATAATGCATAGACTGTGTTGTATAAAAGTAAACTATATTTAAAAATGGAGCTTTCATATATATATATATATATATATATATATTCTAGTGTCTTGTAAAAATATTCACATGCTTTGAGCTTATTACAAATTAGCCCTGTTAAAACAACACAGTTCAGTGTTTTTCTTTGGGATTCTTTTTAATCATACACCATCACAAAAGAAAAGGATGTATGACGTTCAAGCTTCTCTAATTGATAGTTTGATCCAAATCATTCCTGTTTGTTTTCAGCTGCATGTTTAGAGTCAAGAGAAAAGTTAAACTCTGTCCCAGTTATGTCCTGAAGAGAAGCATTCCCACAGCATGATGCTGCCACCATTATGCTTCGCCTAAATTGGGTCTATTTGGGTAATATGCACATTAATTATCGCTGCCCTTAAGGTTTTATTGACTCAAAATGTTTCATGATGGTCTATTAACTAAAAAACTACTTTCTTCCTGCCATATTTCCAAATAGGCTATGGTTGTTCTATTTATTTAGGGCTACCATAGTAAAACATTTGTAGGTCAGCATTATATTTTTAAAAGAAACATATTAACATTATGAAGTTTGTCTTCCTTTTCTCCGTTATGTGATAGCCTATGTTGGTCTGTTACATCAAATCTTTAAAAAAAATTTAAAAAGCGTTTTCAATGCACTTTTTTCAGACAGCACACATGAAGAAGCCATGCATGGGGCGCCAAAAGTAAAGATTTTACAAGAAATTTCACTGTAAAATTTCAGTTTTATCACAATGTACTCACCCTGCTTTGGTTTTGTTTTTTATAACTTTTGGAGGTAAAACATTTCATTTAATGTATTCTATATTTTTTAATGCAATCTATATCTTATTTCTAAATTTTATATTTAAATACATATCTTTTATCTAAATCTTGAATCTAAATTAAATGTAAGATTTATATCTTAGTTTAGAAAGAGATGTATAATGCACATATAAATAGAAAATTTAGATCTAAATATAGGATGTTAAAAAGATATTTACATTTCTATTTAGCATTTGCCACTAAGGTAAAAAAAAACAGTAAATGACAAAAATGTGTGAGTAAAATATCTCTACTACATTTTTGAATTTGGCATCCCATAGCCATGATTACCACTAATTTTTAAACAATTTATTACGACTGTCAGTCTAAAGGTCTTCGACATTTAAATGGAGCTTACCACTTCCCTGACTGACCAATTTTCTCTTTAATCTCTGTGTCCAATCCTGGGAAACCAAATAAACCGCTGAAAGGTCCAACTGTCAGAGCTGGAGCGCGCTCATGCACAGCACCTCCTGGAGGTGACAGCCCATCATCACAGGGAGCTGAGTGCAGAGACGGAGCATCTGAGGGAGGGTCAGCTCCAGGTAGAGCTGGCCTTGGAGACCAGAGAAATGGCACATCGCCAGAGGGTCAGATGCCTTGAGGAACAGGTATAACACCCATCGCTGTAAAAATCTTCATCTCCTATTAATCCATAGATTATCTACGGTACATCATCCTGCTTCCTGTTCCTTGCAGGTACTGACTCTGAAAGAGCAGCTTGATCAAGAGACAAGACGGCGTCAGGAATATTTCATTCAGATGCTACAACCCGGTGTGTAGGCAGTGAAGTATGTGGCGCCTCTGCGTTCCTCCTTCACTGCCCCCCCCTGGCAGCCCCCCAACAACTTCATGTGTCAAGCCGCAGCCGTATTTGGAAGAACACAAACACACTCCCCAAGGCGTCCGCAGCCACCCCTGCAGCACATGTGGTCTCAGGATTACAGTAATCTACCAGAAAGCTCAACAACAACAAACAATAAGCATGTTGTTTATAAATGAACTGGATGTGCCAAATTGTTGGTAGGATTAGATTTTTTTTTTCTGTAGCTTGGAGAACTTTATCTGTCTAATTATGCCATCATGATTGTGATGCAACCTTTTATTATTTTATACACATTTGTTGTACCCTTTTCTTCATACATTTGATCAATTACCTCATATTTAATATAAGAACTTTATTTGATAATGCTTCGGAAAAACCACAGGGAATTGTTTTGTTTTGCATGGTGATTTTTATCAGGAAAATATTGTATCATGCTGTAACTGCTTATTACTAAAATGTTAGAAAGTTCTGATCGTTTTCGGTCAGACTATATCAGCCATATTTGTTTTTATGGTGTGTTTCAGCAAATAAAAGCCTCCATAAATGTCCTGCCTCTGGTGAGAAAGTGCTCAATAAGATTACAGTTGAAGCTCAAAGATCCTCTGAGGTTTTATTTACATTATTAATCCAGCTTAACATCCTCTTTATTTCCTTCCACTATGCTCTGCACCTTTATTTTCCTTCTCACAGCACTACAACTTTTGGTAACGATACGTAGAAGGAGTTTAACTGAGAGGGGAAAATCTGTCAGTTTCTTTAAAGCAGTCCTTTGATTAACATAGATCCACCCAGTGGTTATCCAGTTACCAGCCTCTTTTTAACTATTGGCTGGAAGGAGCTAATTATGCAAGGTAGTGAATCCCTGTGGGGAAGGTGGGGCCAAAGCTGAAAGAACTCTTTTGGCAAGCAGAATAGAGCTTTTATTGAGGATATTTCTAAGCTGACCATCAGGGACCAAATCACTGGATTGTTTAAAAAAATAAATAAATAAAAAAAAAGGAAGGAAAAACATCTCAGCTGGATCACGCTGCTCCCCCCTCTCTTTCATTTCTTGCCTTGTTTCATTTCAGGGAGACGGACTGCAGCTCATGCGGTGGTCAGCAGCAAGCAGAATGCAAGGAATCTGCTGTATTCCCTCCGTCTCACACCAGAAGCCCACTGCACCGCTAGAGGACAAGTGAGGGGAGGCAGATCCAGGGGGAGCAGTCAGGGGAGGACTCCGGCTGCTGCTGCTGCTGCTGCTGCTGCTGAGAGGAGGAACCGTACGGTCTTGTCCTGTTCTGCTCTGCACTTGTTGCCTGAGGTGTGTGAGCTCCTCCCTCCCTCCCTTCCACGGTGCCTGCTGTCAGTTCCATCCCTGGGTGGCTGAGGCCATGCTGCTGGTGCTGCAAGCCATCCTGTCCTGCTTCTGCACCCTGCTGCCCAGGGTGGAACCTGCTGTGTCCTTGGAGGACTTTTACCCCTTTGGTCCTGACCAGGGAGACACCCAGACCATCGCCCAGGACGATGGAGGCTCTGGCCTCCAGGAGATCTCTGTGGCTTTCCCTTTCTTCGGTGACAGACACTCTGGACTCTATGTGAGTAGAAGTTTTCTCCTGACCTGCTTTGATTGGTCATCCTGAGTGTATATGTTTGTGGCAGGAAGAAGTTGAACCTGACAAGGTGTGATTTGTGCAGGATGAGAAGCTAAGGGAGTTTTTGAGCCAAACAACACTGCAGTACCTGTTTAGTTTGTGCATGCCTTGTAATCTCATTTTTGGAAATCATTTCTACTTTCCTACTCACTGGTTCTTGGTCCTCTCTCTCCCTTTCCAACTGCCTCTTCTCTGCACTCTGTTTGCTCCCATGCACACGTGGGAGATCAGCTCTTAGCAGGACAGCGGTAACAGCGTTAAAAGGAAAGCTGCAAAGAGCTGTTTGAGGAAATGACAGTCAGTGTTCAGCATCTGTGAGTAATTCTTTTACACAAGAAGTTAGAGCAGGGAGGAAATATGCACGCCAGAAAGAGCAGGACAGAGCTCATGGGAGGAAGCTGAAAGGTTTGACAAGGATTTTTCCCGCACCAACAGTGAAGCATCCTTTGATCTGCCTTTGTCTTATATCGGGTTCAGCTCCAGCAAATGGAAAGGCAGAACTCTCTTAAATCAACACCACCTGTTTGTGGTTACGCATCCACACTTTCTCTCCAGATCTGCTCTTCCTCGCCTGGAGCTGTGCCTCCCGCTTCCCTACTTAAAAAAAGAGCCCAGAGCAACCATGAAAACAATTAGTAAGGTCAAAGGTTGTGTTCCTAAAACATGCATGCCCAAAACTGCCTGCTCACTATGCAATGAATAAAAACATTTTCTTTTCATTGCAGCCTCGTCTCCAATAGCACTGATCTCCAACTGTCAAATTAGACAAGTCAAGACAAGCTGCCGGTCGCTTGACTTGCTAAACTCAGATCAAATTAGCGTCATGATGGGGATGATAATGAGGGTTATCCACACTGTGGAGGGATGCTTGCTCAGCATTTCTTTAGGAGTCACCAAAAGAATGATGTTCATAGTGAAAATTACACGGCTCACCTGAAAACCCTCAAACATCTGCTGCAAGCCGCGCAGGCCACAGGCTGATATCTGCCGTCAGGGAGCTGCTTTGGACGGATTGTATTTCACTCTGCTCTGAGGGATAAATCTGTAAATTTCTCCCAGAAGCTTGTTCCAAGCCTTTGGGCTGCTGCCACAAAGAAGCCGTGGAAGCAAACCGATTTTAGATGGTGTGTGGGTGCTGTCTGACTTCATTAGCATTACTTAGTATTTTGAGCCCAACATATGCTTTTTTTTACCTTTCACAGAGGATATCTGTTGGACTATATGTTCCTAATATGTGCTATTTCTAAACACAGAAGGAATTTAAGGACATCCAGTTACTGGGATCATAATGTCACTTCAAACTGCTTCCATTCAACCAGGGTCTTTCCCAACATTTAGTCCTATTTCTGCCTCATAGTAACCAGGCTGTCCCTCTGTTATGTTTTGTATCTGGGAGTTTTCTCATGTTGCTGGGATCTCTTCTCCTCCTCCACATCCTCCCTCCCCCTCCTCCCACACCTCAGATAACATGGCAGGGGTCTTCCCCCAGGAACTGTCCAGCTGCTTTATCTGAGAAATGACCAATCACTTTAACAGAACACAGATGCATAAGCATGGAAGTGTAGGAGCTTCTAAGTAGCGCCGTACATGGATGACCACTCTGATTGAAGGTTGGTGTGAGGAACGTGAAGGAGGATGTCCAGGGTGGGAGAAACAACACGAGTTTATAAGCAGCTGTGAAAATAGGCCTGTTTAATCAAATTCAACTGTGAAAAAAATGTTTAGGGATTAAAATCTGCAAGATCACATCTGTTTTACATCAAAACAAGGCATTTTATCACTACTTTTGTAAGAGTTTCAAAGTTACTATGGGGGGGGGGTTGGATTTGGGAGTGAGGTTAAATAAATAACATAAATCATTTATGTATGCCTGGAGATTCATTGATCAGGATTTTGTTGCAGATTTTCCAGCTTAGATTGTTGTTAAGCTTCCGGCTGCTGAGATTTCAGGCATTTCTTTTAAAGGCAACTGTACAATAAAAATGATTGAAAGAGGGTTCAAAATATAATATGTAGTTTTTCCTGCTTTCTTTTTATAAGCACCGATATGTGGATTAGAGCAAATGTGTCCTGCATATGTGGGAGAGCAGGTTTTTATTGCTATGCAATTACAGAGTAGACATTTGGACATCTTTAAAATCTGGTTAGCAATGCTAACTTCATGAATGGATCCGTATCGTGCTATATATATATATATATATATATATATATATATATATATATATATATATATATATCATGATGCAGCTTATATCAGCTTCTTACAATGCTATAATGGTAATTCATCATTCTCCAATTGGTATTCTGTTTGATTCATTCATGTCTAAGCAATCCTTGTCACTCTCTCGAACCAGCAGCCTCTCCTTATCCTGTGCAGAGCACAATCATTTCTGCTTAAAATAGAGACAAAGTGGCTCTTTTAGCAGCTAATCGGCACAAAACAGCAACTGTTCATTTTTTATATAAATGTGTAAGTCGTGAAAATGTTTTGTTATTTTTGGGCCAAAAGAGACTTTGGATTTTCTCCAGCTTTTTCAAAGAAAAGCCTCCTCAGGAGCGGTGTGATACCATGCTGCCACATTTCGAGCACGTCAGATGGTGTCTCACCCTCAAGGGGAGTGATGGTGTTGAAAAATCAAGGGCGTAGGTTTTATCTCAACTTTGGTAGGAACTCTACTGGTCTTAAGTTGAATTGGTCTGATGTCTTTGGTCTTACGCGTTTTTTTAATGCTTGACATAAGCATCAGGGCGCATTTCGTTCAAAAAGAAAACAGCTTTTTTGTGCTACATTTATGCAAATTTTATAAGGACTACACACACAAGATGCTGTTTTTAATCTTTGAAGCATGAGTGGCTTGGAATGATTTGAAATTGGGACAGCCTTACACTTTGAAAGGGGTTCCATTTGAACTTCCCAGTGACTAAGACGGAAGGTAAATATGTGCCTTTTTAACCAAATATAATCTAAATATGTCTGTATGTGTATTGTTTTCTATAGGTAATATGCAGAGGTAAACAGAGGTAAAACTCACTCTTATTTTTTTTAATCTGATATGCTGATATTCTCTCTATTGTAAAACAAAGCAAAATAACATATTCAATGGACTGCAAATAGAGTTATTGTATTTACACTGAGCAATTAAAAAATTGACTTTAATATACAAGTTGTGAGAAAAGAAGCAACTGCTGCAACAACGCTGTATTGTAAATTATAAACATGTTGTTCACGTCTAATTATTGGTAGGGACAAGTAGGTCGGGCCAAAATGTTGGTAGGGACATGTCTCTATGGTCCCTATGCAAACCTACGCCCATGTGAAAAATAGCACCAGAATACAACTAATATTTCATTACAAACTGATACACTGTAGCACCAAAACTGATATTTTATAGTATGTGATTTTAGTGGACTTTTCAAAGCTTAAAAAGCATAATATAACATTTAAAACTCTCAGAGAGTGACTCTGATATTCATATATCATGTGTCAGCCAAAGAAGCTTTAAAGAGTCGGAGCCACTTTAAAGTATCTTCATACTTCGTGTTTCCAGGTTCAAATCTCCCTCTCACTCTAGTGCAGCATGAATGAGCTGCAGGCACCGTCTCAATTTGCCATAGAAAATAGTTTCCTTTAAAAATAGCTTTGTAGATGTCAGTGCTTCCTCTGACCTCATTTGAACACCTCACAGATGCAGATAATAACTTATTCTGAGGGGCACTGCCATATGAAATGAACTTCAAATCATATGAACACTTGATATACAGATATACTGTATATATTTTATGACAAAAATCAAGTATAGGTTTACGAGAACAAAGTTCTACAAACATCTACAAGAATGTAATATTTTTGTGTAATGACTTAGAAGAAAGGACCCAGAACTCAGGCAAGACAGACAGTGGAATAACTTACAACATTTATTAAATAACAAGCTGTGGATCTGCGGTATCAGTGACTAGAGCGTCTATAACAGGATAGTCTGGTTTGACAGTTCAGTCCGTACCCAGAGAACGAGGATGATTCCATTCGGTAGACTGAACAGACGCAGCGGACGCTGCCAGAGAGTTCCAGATGTGAAGCCTAGAAGGCCGCAGTGCTGACAGGACATCAGAGCTGACGAAGGAAGACAGGATAATCCACAGGGCGAAGTCAAGAGGCAGATCAGGTTCAGTTCACAGAAGAATCCAACAAGAGTATGAAGACAGGTCAGGCTCAAAGGTCCAAATACAGAAAGGGATCATGATCAGGCAATCAGAACACTATAGAAATGCTAGAAAACTCTCAACACCAAAGGCTCAAGAATAATCTGGCACTGATGGCTGGAAATAGGCAACATAAATAGGAGCAGGAACAGGTGGATCAGATGAGCATTGATGAGAAAACAGACAGAGCTAGATAGGTGAAAGAAATGAGCAATCGAGCCAGTCATCAGCACCATAATGGGAATATAGTAATATTCCAAAAACTAAAGATTACCTTTATAAGAATAAACATGATAAAAGCTTGACATTGTAAGAAAAGTTGTGATGATATGAGAACAAAGTGATCAAAGGAATGCCATTATTAATCTGTCTTCGTCTACATTTTGTCACACAATTACATGTAAAATACATGTGTGACCATTTGTTCCATAATCTCTTTGCTGCTGAAACAGAATTTCCCAATTGTTGAGATAAAGGGAGTTTCTTTTCTATTCTATTCTATTCTATTCTATTCTATTCTATTCTATTCTATTCTAAATGGAAACCATTCATAACAAATAGAAAAAATGTTGTTGACATAAGTTTGTTGAATCAAACCTTACCTAGAACTTCTGACCTGTTTCTTATATGTTTCCATGCGTGTTTTGACATTAGTCTTGGGCTTTAAGCTCATGATATTTTCTAGCCTTATTTCCATCACCCTAATCTTGAGCTTGCTTCAAAGATATTTTTTCAGATTCAAGTCTGTTCTCTATCTCAACTGTCTAATGCCACTGCAGTCAGTCACTAGGAAAAAATGACTGGGTTTTCTAAGAAAAGTGTTTGTTTTTTTTAACCAGGCTGAATATTTATCTAAACCTAAAAGTACTGTTTGATAACTAGAACCTAATAGAAATATATGAAATTGACTTTGAATTGACTTTTTTTGTAAAGTATCTTAATATATATATATTTTTTTAATTGGTGCTTCTGAATCAATTAAATGACAAATGTAATTTAACAGAATTAAGCATGAATTTACAAAATATCCCTACAGATTATTCAAATTATATTGTTTTGTTACAGCTGTCCCTTTTTCCTGTCCAGTTTGAAAGCTTTCTCAAATGTTAGAAGTCTGATACTGGCCACATAGAACAGATCCAACCAGACGCATTCTGCACTAACCTGCAGGAGAAACATCTAAGTAGTGAGGATTAAGCTGAGTGGATTAAACGCCTCAAAATCCAGAATGAACGCAAATAGAGGAACAGATTAAAGGATTTATCAGGCTCATGACAAAAAGCTTAAGCCACTTAACACAACCCCATTATCTGGTAGAAATGTAATATTTTTTTTATAATTTCTGATACTTCAAAAATGATTAAATATTTAAATTTGTTTAAATATTATATGTGTAAAGGATGTCAGCCATTAGAAATATAACCAGCCAGAGCTAGGAAGGTCCAGGCCACCAGCTCAGACTTTAAACTGCATTCATTTTCTCTCTTCCTGTCACCTACCTGGACAGGTTTGCAGCTGTGAAACCTCCGATTTTGACAAGAAGAACTAATGTTTTCCCAAGCTGATCTATGGGCCTCTTTTTGATTTAGAGCTTTGCCTTAGCCAAACTTAAGCCAGAAGAAAGTTTATTTTAGTCCATTAAACTGCTTGGCTCTAAAGAAAACCACCGAAGCAAAATCCTGGATATATTTGGCAAATATTTTCACAGAAAATCTAAAGTGTATTGCAGTATGATTTGAAACCCTTGAAACTGAGGAAGGAATAATGGAATAGAGGATGCAGCTTATATGATTGACTTATTACCGTTTTCTCTTTCTCTTTCTCTCTCTTTCCAGTGTTTTTGGTCTTTTTTTTTTTACAGTTACATGCAGCCCTGAACACATTTCTTTCTAACATAGGTGTGATGCAGAGCTGTCCCTCCCTGGATGGCATAGCTTATAATAAATCTATGAGAATATGATGAAAATAGTTCTTTCATCAAATGTTAATTTTAGTCTGAAAGCATTAGAAAAACTCTGCAAGATGGGATTCCACTTGTCTAAAACTTTCCAGATGCTTTTGGGGACTGGACTAGATGGGGAGAAAAAAATATTCTGGTATTACAATGTAAAACGTTTCTAGATCTTTGTGATTTTCTCCACTAATTCTGGCTTAAGATGGATCCTTTCCAGGCCGCTGTCACCACGGGTTTCTCATTAGTGGGCATGCAGGTGTGGGAGGTTAGTAACCCTTCTGCCGAGCTGTCCCAATGCCCTTGTTCTCGTTCTTTTTCCCGGTATCAGATGGAGCTCTGGCTGACCCATGGACTCTTCCTCAGCAGCCCGCTCCCTCCCTCCCTCTGTGTCTCTTTCTGCAACGGCCACATTCTCACCACATCACGCTGATTCAGAAGAGAAGACTGTGGTCGGGCAATTAACTGAGCTGCTGCGCTCTGCCAAACAAAACTTCCTCCAATGTTTTTACAGCAAAGTTCTTCAAATTATGGTTTTCATGCATCCGTGGAGTAGAGTTCAGCCATCTGACGTTGCTTTGTCACTGTCACATGCCACTCAACATGAATGTGAATAGAGTTCACACCAGAGTTTAGGCTTGAGAGGAGAGGTGCCAGCCAGGGCAGACAGAGCAGGGCTTCCCATGCTAATAATACACCAACACAATGCATGAATGAGAGCCTTTCATGGGAATCATCCCTCTGTCTGCAGGAGGAACCTTTCAGCACAAGTTTATGGGATGTTTAGCACCTTGTTTAGATGAAACTTCAGATCTTTCATCATATTGATTTGATGAATCATTGAGATGATTTAGATTTGAAAGCTTTAAGTCATTTTCAATATATTGCTTCACATGTTTTCTTCTAAAATAAATTGTGCGTTTGCACCTACATGGTGGGGTTTGGACAGGGAGAGACTCCCATGCTGTTATAAGCGTGAGTGAAATGATCAAAATTTCACTGTAGCACCATATTTATCTGATCATTTAAGATTGCATCATTTCTTAAGAGTGATAGGTGGTTTTGATAGCGACTGAAATAGACTGAAAGTGTGCAACAAGTCGGGGAGGGGCGCACTGCATTTGTACTCCGTACAGCTCCGCTAACTATTTTAATTGCATCGCATTATAAAGGACTTAGGTCTGGTTTTGGAGGCCGGAAACACTGTGATGCCAATAACCGCTTCATGTCGTCTAACTAAACGACCTTCACTTAATAACTCGCTTTTTATACGTCTCTCAGACTTCCTCTTTCTGTAGTTTCTGTTTCTTTCAACTTGCGTTTGAGACTCATGATGATTACTCTGTACAAATTTTCCAAATTGCATGTTAAGGTAGTATTAATGTTCATATTAGTGTGCTTATACTGGAGACTCAGAGGGGCTTAATGTGTATAGTGGAGTTTAGCCAAATAAAGGGAATTAGGAAGCTAATGAATGTTCTGTGAGCCATTTGCCTGCATTAGGATGACTGAACAAAATGTTTACTTAAATGTTTACGCTAAGCAGCCTTATTGGCAATTAAGGGAATAATTAGAATTATTCACACAACTTCTTGAATTTGGGTTTAAAATGATCTATTCATTTGACCAAGTTTCTTCTGCCACAACTTAAATTTGATATAAAGTCTACGGAGGGGGCTAGAGATTAGGGCAAGCATGTGTTATGTTTTTCAGGTCGGAGGGTTTGGTATCAATGTTTTTAACAGCAGACTGAGCGTTTCTGAAAAGGGTAAAAACATCAGATGCACCGATGATGTGGTAATGTTGAAGATTCCCCTTATTAAGCTCGGAGGGTTTTAGAAATAAATCCCACCTTAAAATATTCAACCGAATAAATCAAGAACAGCTCAAAAGCTATTATAATCTAGTTAACCAGACTGATAATGTGTTGCTCTTTGTTTAGTTCAAACGATTCAGTTTGGATAAATTTATCAGTCCTTTCCAAGCTGATTGGGCAAAACAAGAAGATAGATTCTGGTTTATTTTTTTAAAACCACAAATACCATGAGAATTCATCTTGCTGGCACCGTTACAATTATCAGGTTTTAATGCAAATATGTTTTACTTCTTGGCATGTTCTGGTGTTCAAGACGCTTGGAAGCAGAATGATGAGTTTTCAGAGGCTTAATGAAAACTGATCGCAGGAAAATAGGGAAGCAAAGAAACATGAAATTACACACAGTATGTAACAGCAAAAAAAGTCTGAAAATGATTTTGCTTTCAAAATATAAACTGTAAAATTGAACAAATATGTAGGATAATACAATACAAATAGTACATTTGTTGAAGAAATACTTTATTTTGTTAAGCACTAAAATGAAATCGAACTGCAAAATGTTACTACCACACACTTTCCCATTGTTTTAGTGTTGTATAATGTCAACCTTTGCTTTAATTAGGTGAATTTAAAAATTAAAGATTAAAGTTCTATTTAAAGGGAGGCTTTTGCTGAGGGAGAAATAATTAAAAGGGAAAATTCAAGAATGGAGCAAGGAGAACCTACAGAAAAAGTGACTCGAAGTAAAGACAACTAACCAAAGATGCTATGAAATATGCAACAAATAAAAAAACCCTGGTAAGGCGTAAACAAACAGAACTAGTATGGCAAACCCTAAACGGCAAAAATAACAGAAGATGGTGACTCATGATGAACCAAATCAAAACTAAAGCCTAATTTGCCAATACTGACACTCTTATAAAGGGAAAGCATAAAAGAATTTTAAAAAAGTTTAAGAAATATTTCATGACCTTTGCTCCTCTGCAGTACCTCCATGACCCATAAGGGGGTCATGTCCCCAAAGTTGATATCTGGAACTCATTGTGTAAAAAAATAAATGGAAATATGAAGCAGGTCTTGCTGGCTTTTGCTCAACTGTAATCATAATCAGCTGTGCTAAAGCAGGGAAACCTCTAAAACCTGCAGGACAGGGGCCCTCAAGGACTGACTTTGGGGATGCCTGATGTAAATGAAAATTAAATTGGTTTTATTTCACATACACTCATTTTAAGTTGTTTAATTTTTTTTTCAATCAAGGGCAATCCTTACTTTGCAAAGTAAATCATTCAACATCTTAATCTGTCAGATCTATCCATCACTTCTCCCTTCTCAATAGTTTTCCTAAAATGTTCCTGACGGCTGTTTTAGCCCATGTTCTCAGCTTTATTAGTGAAATCTTTAAAATAACAATTTACCATTCCTGAGTGAGCAAACCCAGCAGGAAACCTTCACATCCAGAGTGTCTGGAATCACCATTTTCCTGGACTTTTAAGTCGTTGCAGAACTTTGCAGTTGACTTAAAGAGGGGAATGATTCCAGTGGATTACTTTGCCTGCTGGCCTGGATTTGAGGACTGCAAGTGCTCTTCCAGGTGGGAGGACTGCAGGTGTGAGCAGCAGAAACCAGGTTTTCTCAGTTGCCATCATCACTCAAAATTAAGGAAGGGTCTGTTTGGGAAGTAGGAAGTGCAAACATCCGTTCAAGCAGCTTTCTCTTCACATTTCTAGAGCTTACCCAGTCAGCTTGGTGCAGTTTTGCCAAGTTTATGTGTCCCACTCAGCATTTCCAGTCTAACTCCATCTAATCCTAAAGTTTATCTTCCCTTGTTCCTTCTCCTCAGGTTAACAACAACGGTCTTGTGTCTTTCCTGAGGGAGGTCTCTCAGTTTACACCTGTAGCTTTTCCAATTGCTGGCGACAGAAGGGTTGTGGCGCCGTTCTGGGCTGACGTGGACAACCGTCTAGCAGGCAGCGTCTTCTTCAGAGAGAGCCAGGACTCATCCATCCTGAGGAGGGCTTCAGGTGATGTCAGGACGTACTTCGCAGAGTTCCCTGACTTCAACGCAACATGGGTTCTCATCTCGACTTGGCATCAAGTTACCTTCTTTGGAGGAAACTCCCAAACGCCGGTACAAATTCACTCCACTTTACTGGCAACTTAAATATTAAAAGTAAAGTATCTTTTAGAGTTTTTTTTAAACTTAATCGCAACATATGATACTTTCATCATGTGGTTTTTGTAGTCATTAAAACAGTGAAAAATGGGCAAAAAAGTTGCAAGAGACGTAAATTCTGGGCTTACAGTGTTATATATAATACATAGTTTTGTAAAGAAAACACAATTTCTTTCCTTATGTTTCACTTTAAATCAGAATACATCGACATCTGTTGTTCTATTGGGACAAAATGTAGTAAAAGTTCAAGGATCATGAATACTTTTGTAGGGTTCTGTAAGTCGATCCTACACACAGCAGATAAAAACATACATTCAGCTCAATATCAGCCTTTAAAATCCACCCAGGATTATAAAACTTTGTATATGATATAAAAATAATACATTAGCTGCCATGAGAAAAACTAAACTGCCTTTTTGACCTCTGTGAATGTGGTATTTTCTGGGTTCATACTATAATGTTGTACCTACTTGGTTTAATGAATGGGCTTATTTTTCAAAATCTTGATTCTTACACATTGCAGGTGAAAAGGAGATTAAAAAGTGGATATATTTCTAGTTTCTATGGCAAAAAGTGAGGAAAATACTGAGATTAGAGGAAAAAAAAATGATCAAGTCAGAGAGAAATGCAGAGGAAACTGATGGAGGAGAATGAACGAGTCCAGTTTATCAAACTGAACCACCTAGCATGTATTTATTTGTAGAAATCTCATAGTAAAGCTATTAGATTTGTTTCTCTTTGTGAGTCATCTTGCGGTCCAACACAACAATCGTCATCTTAAGCTCTTCTAAAAAAGATTAAATTAGTCTGTAAGGTAATTTAAGTTTCTTAATTCATCTTCTATATTTCTGTATTTATTTAGAGGAACATCAGGTTTTCTTGGTTAGGCCATGCTGAAAAGTTTTCTTTGTGTTCTAGGAGAGAAAATGACACAGCGCCTTTCGAATGTTTTTTTTTTTTTGTGAACATATTAAGTGTTTCAATGAGGGGCTGCAGTATTGTCACCCTGCTGAGACGTTTGAAGCCCCCTTTATCTCACTGTATTAACCATGCATAACCTTTGACCCAAGTATAAGCTTGATTTTTGGTATATTAAATGAGTTTTAGATCAATGTGCAGCAGATGCGTGTTTATTGATGCTCCTTTTGCGGCTGCCTATGTAGCTTGAGAGGGTCTGATCCTTTGTTGAATGGGTCATGTGACCATGAGCGCCTCTTAAGAGGATTCTGACACAAAAACATGAGCATTAACTGAGCTATAAGTTGTAGTTGGGCAACCAACCAGATGTGAGTCTTACCTATTCAGACATATTTTTGGTTCTCTGATGTAGGAATTAATCTAAAGAGGTGAATCGGGCTTTGAATTTATAAAATAATTGTCATAATAATGTCTACTGCTGGTTTGCTATCAGACGCCACAGTTTAACTTAGTGTAGACCACAAGCAACGGTGAGCAACAACATTTGTTATGTGTTGTCTGGGCAAGAAACATTCAGGATTTACATGAACTAAGAGGTTCAGGACATACACTTTGCATATTTTGCTTCATTTAAACAAGAATATATATATATATATATATATATATATATATATATATATATATATATATNATATATATATATATATATATATATATATATATATATATATATATATATATATAGATGAGAGAGAGAGAGACAGACAGAGAGAGAGAGAGAGAGAGACAGAGAGAGAGAGAGAGAGAGAGAGAGAGAGAGTTTGGAGCATGTGACCTGGCATCTTTGTGCAGTCAGAGCTATAGATGGATATCTAGCCCAAAGTCCATATTAAAAGAGATTAGCTGAAAACAAATGCATGCCACATCATTCAGATGCTTATGTGTTAGAAAATGAACACTTTAGATATTTTCTTCTGTTCAGCGCTACACAATACTGTATGTTATGTTTGGTTAGAACAAGTCTTTGTTTTTTTATTTTTGAGTTTTGTTATTTCTGACATTTTGATTTGAAAAAGCTTCCTGAATGGGAAGCAAAATGTCTTCAAACTTGGAAATGTTTTTAATATAGAATGCAAAAAAAAGGCATAAACCTTTATTCTTTAGTATTATTATTTCTTTTGATATTGCGTCAACTAATTAAGTGAATATTTTACCCAAACTTATTTTCCCTCTGTGCAGGTTAACACTTTCCAAGTGGTGCTTATTACAGATGGAGAGTTGTCCTTCACCATATTCCAGTACAATAACATCACCTGGACAACAGGGAGGCACGCCAGCAGCGGGGGGGACCTTGAAGGGCTGGGGGGGATTGCAGCACAGGTAAGATCCCTTTGGTTTTGTCAGGAGCTTCCTCCTACTACCTGCGTTTGTTTTCAGCGTTTTGTTACTCTCTTCCCAGGCAGGTTTTAATGCTGGCGATGGGAAGCGCTATTTCAACATCCCCGGCTCCCGCACTGCCGATGTGGTCAGTGTGGAGGAAACCACCAACGTGGGGTACCCAGGCAGATGGGTGTTCAGAATCGACGATGCAAACGTGGAAGTGGGAGGCTGCAACTCTGGTGAGAGCTGCTTATTGGAGATAAAGTTCTCAAACCTTCCTCCATGTTTGGGTTCAATTGTTGCTGGATTTGCTGTTTTATTATCTTCCAGCCTCCGTGTGTCCACACCTGCGTCCGTGCCTGAACGGAGGCCAGTGCATAGATGACTGTATTACAGGCAACCCCTCCTTCACTTGCTCCTGCTTGGCTGGCTTCACTGGCCGCCGGTGCCAAATCAGTGAGTTATGGCTGACACCACTTCCTGCTGCGTTTAGCTTGACACGCAGCGCATGCTGTGAGCGACTGCTTGTCTACCCGAGAACGGCCAGGAAAAATAATGTCAGCTTGTAAAGAAAACACCAGATTTCTGCAGACTTTTCCAGAGGGACACCTGAGCATTTCCTTAATACCTGTATCAGCTTCACGCCAATCGGACGTGTTATCGTTGGAAATCATCTCAGCCGTTCACCAGATGTTTCCCCTTTTAATTAAAAACATTATAGTACCTCCCTTGTGTTTCCTCCTGTTTCTGCAGATGTCAATGAGTGCGCCTCGGATCCGTGCCAGAATGGTGGGAGTTGTAAAGATCAGATTAACGGTTTCATCTGCGAGTGTCCTCCAGGGTACGCCGGGATTCACTGTCAAACAGGTACAGTACCTCTGACCCACTTTCTCACAACGTTGTTACTTAGAATTACCATTTCATTCATCTCCAAACCTGCTACAGAATTTATGTTTCCATACTTTTGGGACTGGGTGGAGTATTCCTTGCAAAAAAAAAAAAAATGTAATAAAGTAAGATTTTCTTGAAGAACATGTATTTGCCCTTGATTTGACTAAAAGGATCTGCAAGGTGATAACATTTTTGAACATACCTGTTTTAATTCAATCTGAAAAACTCACACTAAGAGAAAAGACAATTAGGAGAAATTTATTGATACAATTACTTTGTCTTTGGCGCTCAGACCTCGGCAGGAAACATAGCACTTTATTTTGATAGATATGCATTAACAGGAGCAAAGAATAGGGCTGTTTCCCCCCCAGACCTGAAACTGGTGGTGGAGTGGGGATAGATGAAGTTGGTCAGTCTGTAGACTGCTGGTTAGGGAGACGGTCTACTGAGCTTTATGGGGAGATCCAGTAGACTGCGTGAGCTGATACTAGAGCTTCACTCAGGGACCTGGAAGATGGAAGTCCAGTTGGAAAACACAGGTTGAGAGAACCTGTCCATGATGAGCAAGCATGAAGTGACAGTGGAGAGAAAAAACTCCCCGTTGGGAAAAAACCTCAGGCAGAGCCAGGCGCAACATGGCGGTCTTCTGCCGGACCGGTTGAGATGAGACAGGGAACGCAGTAAGAGTCCGGGAGGAATGAAACTCTAATGAAGCTTTACCTACAATGGTGGAGGAGGGGCTGGAGGTGGGTTGAATCGGAGTCATCTCAATGACGTCACAGCGCATCCGCCGCCTGTGCACAGGAGCAGATGGTGCGGATTGGAGGCCTTTTAACATGAACTTTTGATGCAGATTGGCTTTCGTGGAGGTGTGGTTCAAAACGGATTGTCTGTGTTGCAGGTGGATGTAGGAGAGCAATCAGTTTCTTCAGTTGAACTTCTGTCTATGCTCCATTTAAAGGCAATTTCACTCATTCTAAGAAATTTTGACCTGTTATCAAAACAATCTTTGCATATTAGTGAACAGGGCAAACTAAATCATAATGATTCAAATGTTTTTTTTACTTCAATTTTGTGATAGTTAACATAAATTAACTCTCCGAATGGGTTTTATACGTGATAGAAATCTGGATGACGACGTCTTACACTCTCCTAAGATGATCCATCTAATCAAGTTTTAGAATCTTTAATCCAGGCACAGAGATGTTTAAACGTTGTTTTGATTAATATACTAAGAAAGAGCAGATTATTTTTGATGATAATATTTTTTATTTTTTTGACACATTTCTACTCAAAATAAGAGCAATAATCTGCCAGTGCAGGAAGAGAATTTTGCTTGGTTACTTTTCTTTAAATTAATGATATATTTTCTCAAAACAATCTTACCAGGTGCAGTTGTCTTCCTTTACTTGTAGATTACTGCACTTATTTTGAGTAGAATTTACTCAGTAAAGAGATTAATATTCTAAAATAATCTGCTCTTTCTTAGCATATTAATCTTAAAACAAGCAGAAAAAGTCTTTTTGGCTAGATTGAAGATTCCAAGACTAAATTAAATGGATCATTTTTGCAGTGCAGTGCCTTGTTACAGTATTTCCACCTTACAAACCTTCATCATATTCCATCATTTTAATGAATTTGAATATGGTTTTATGAAAGAGAGCAACAGGAAATGGAACCTAATTGGAAAGTGGAAGTCAGCTCTAAACTTAAACCCATAAATGAAATCCAGCTCAACCAATTTCCTTGAGGAGACACCTAATTAATAGAGTGCAGTCCTGAGTAAATTGTCTGAAGGTTTTAGAGTGCTGTTAGAGAAAATAAGGGATCAAACAGCATCAGGAGGACTGAGAAGAGAGCAAACAGGCCAGGAAGGAAGCAGAGTTAGGTTTGAAAACTCAATTCTGGGTCTTGAAAAATCTGTTGACACGTTAAGTCCCATACATCTCCTTGAAATGACAAGCCAGGCAATCAGAGCATTATCAGGGAGGAAGCAAATGTTAACTCTGGAGGAGCTGCACAGATCCACAGCTTAGACGGAAGCGGCTACAACTAAAGCAACTGTTTAATTATCAAAAAGTGATTTATGTTATAAATTAAATACACTAATATGATATGAAGAAAGGAAAGAAATTTGCAACCCATTTGTAATCCAAGTGCTCATTAAGCGCCGACCACACGCACACAAAGACTTTTTAAAACTACGTCGGTCTAGTCTGTGAAAAAGTATCAAAGCCAGTTGAGGTGCCTTTGCAGCCAGCGGCACATATTTGCAGAATGAGGGGAGCCGTGTGGCGGATATATTAATCAGCTGAGTAAATATCCCATCAGCGTGTCTCTCTGTCCCTCTGTGTGTGTGTGTCGCAGATGTGGACGAGTGTGAGGGCAGGCCGTGCCTTAACAACGCGACGTGTGTACAAGGCACCGGGAATTTCACCTGCTTGTGTGAGCCGGGCTACACTGGGCTCCGTTGTGAGACAGGTGAGTGTGGGTCTCTCTCCCTCGGCTCTTGGTGGGGGAAATCTTTTTCACTGCTTTCTACATTAAACTTTTCAGTGCGGTTAGACAAATGGGTCTAAAACACCTCATGTTTACTCCCCCCCCTGCCTGTTGTATGGCAACAAAAATATTTGATAAAGTTCAATTTAGTAAAATAGATCAAATGTTATCTTCACATCTGAGTGCAATGTTGATATTTAGTTCTGTAACATGATCCCAGGAGGAAATGAAATGATCTGACTTTCCAGAGTTCATGAATGTTTGTTTCTACTTGAAACCAGTTATATCTTAATACCAGACACCTGGTCAATGAAACTCTACGCCTGTCCTCCTAATCCAGCTTACTGCCTTAGACATCCGCCTCTGAACTCACCCCAGATCTTTGAACGTTTGTCTCTCAGACATCAACGAATGTGAATCCAGTCCGTGCCTGAATGGAGGCGAATGCATCGATCAGGTGAACGGCTTCACCTGCACGTGTCCTGCTGCATTCACTGGAACCTTCTGCCAAACAGGTAGGAGACAAAGCTTCTATAACATGTCTTTGAAGTAAGACAAACCCCACTGGAGACAGCGGGTATAGCATCCTGCTTTTTACAGTTTTAGCTCCTGAGGTTTTTGTTATTTTCTGCAGCTGTAAACAATTTTATCAAACTAAAACACAGGTTTGATATAAATCATGAATGTGCCTTTACAATTAAAACCTTTGATAAGTGACAAAAAAACATATTTTAATCATGAATTCTGAGAGGATTATTTTAATATTTAAAATATTTGTAGCCTTTTTGTCACGTCTTTTAGTCCATTTTAGTTTCATTTTAAAAATACTGAGACTTTTGAAAATATATTCATATTTTAAAGCAGTGTAATCGAGGAGTGATCTCTAAACATTTGGCAAAGCTTTAAAGAAAGTAGGAACATGACTCTTGGCTAAATCAGCTGCTTTGTTTTAAAGCTTGTGGAGAAATTATGCAAAAGACATGTTATTGATTCATTCAGGTACAAAGCAGATAGTTTAGATTCTTATTTCTCGAAAATATTAAAAAAGCAGCTTAAGGTTTATGCATGAAGTGTAAAAAATAAAAAGAAGTTTGACCCCAAGCAATCAATAGTAAAGCCAGAATAGGCAGAATTTTTGTTATTGTTTTTTCCTTGTTATAATTAAAGAACATTTAGAAATTGGGGATACGGTTTTGTAAAGCTTTTCAGATGCAAAGAGATGCATTACATAAGAAAATGCATGAATAATGAAAGTAAAGGTTGTCTTAAAAATGCAGGATCAGCTGTTTTTACAATCCAGAGTCCTTTTTTTAACCTTCACTGCCAAGAAATAAAGTTTAGAGCTGCAGAAACATTCCT